AAACCTATAGAGCACAGAAGATTCAAAAAAATCTGGACACATATTTTCTGACATCTTCTCTGTCAACCACCTGTCACTCAGCCTAGGTCACTTATGACGCACAGTGATCTCTCTCCTCCCAACTCCTACTCCATTTATAGTTCATGCTTCACTTAGACCTTATAGTGTTTGCTTTTGCTCTCTAGTGTTTCTGCTAGTTCTACCTTCCCATGTAGATTACAACCACCTTCTCGTGCCTGCTCCACAGAACCAGCAAGTTCAGGTTCCATGGCAGGCCCTCGATAAACCATTTTGCTGATCGAGTAACAACAACAAGAAAGCTTCAACGGTCATAGAATTTTAGAGCTAAAAGAAATCCTAAAGATCTTTTTGTTCAATTCCCGTATTTTAGAGAGGACAAGCAGAGGCCCCCCCCAAAAAAAATCCCTGAGTCCAGACTCTCTGTTCAGCTCAACTCTGCACTTGGTCCCTCACCAGGACCTGGGTCTTCCCCATCCCGACTTCCAGCCCTGTGTTCCTGACGAACGGCTGCCCATGCTGTGGCCTGAAGGTAGGAAGAAGAGGACACGTCCTGATACCACAACCAAGTTTGCAAAAGCAGGCTGGGACATCATGGTGTCCAACGATGGCGTGGCCCATTGGAGACAAAGGGACACTGACTTGAAGAGTCCAAGTAAGTCGGCTCTTGACCAGACGGGTCCAGACCCTAGTAGAAATGGATGGGAGAAAAGGGGAGGCCGGAAGTCAGCAGCCCCCACATCTGGTTCTGACTCGACCCGTGGCAAGAAATAGGATTTTGGGCAAGTGATTTTATCGTCAGGTCCTCAGTTGGATTTATAATCTTATATTCCCCAGTTTGGAGCAAGTCTTCATTCCAAAGATCTGCAATCAGGTCCTTCATTTTAAAGAGCTGGAAAACAAAATCTCTCTTCAAAATGGAAACGTTAAAAGGGATCTTCTTGCAGAATGCTGCAGTTTGTTGACATCGCAGTTTACTCAGAGCCTGCTGTTAAGTCAGAATCCATGGTTGTTATTTTAGTCTGTTGACACTGCAGTTACATATTTCATTATGTGACACCATTGCATTGTAGGAGGGAGATATTTAGGGCTCCTAAATAATGATTAATTGATGGTAACTAGGTGCTTTTTCTCAGAACACTTTTTTTTTTTTTTTTTTAGAGACGGGGTCTTATTCTGTCTTCCTAGCTGGAGTGCAGTGGAGCAATCATAGCTCACTGTAGCCTCGAACTCCTGGGCTAAATAAATCCTCCTGCCTCAGCCTCCTGAGTAGCTGGGACTACAGGTGCGTGCCACCACACCTAGCTAATTAAAAACATTTTTTTTGTAGAGATGGGGTCTCGTTGTGTCGCCCAGGCTGGTCTCGAGCTCCTGGCCTCAAATGACCCTCATACCTCGGCCTCCCGAAGCGCCGGGATTACAGGTGTGAGACAGCATCCGGCCCTCAGAACACTCTTTTAACATGTACTGTACTACTACCTGTGTGAACCATACTCTAAAAGAAATGTGGATCACTTTCTTTTCTTTTTAAAAATCATATATATTTGAGGTGTATAACATGATGTTCTGATATACACATATGCAGTGAGATGATTATTACAGTTATGCAAAGTATCCTATCCATCACATCCTTTTTGTGTGTGTGTGTGTGTGTGTGTGTGAGAAAGAGAGAGAGAGAGAGAGAGAGAGAGAGAGAGAGAGAAGGATCACTTTCAATTAAAACACTAGATGCAAAGAAATATTTACTTTTAAAATATTCCTCCCCTCAAAATTCACAATGCCTGAATCATTTCGTACTCTGTTACATATGCCTACATATCCCTGATGTTGCTATTTTTTTAGGCATCCAATTTTGAATTCAAACTCTCTGCTTAAAGCCTGCTGTGAAGTTAACATTCTGTGACTCTTATTTTAGTCTGAGAGAGTTACATACTTCACATTTTACTACAGAACAGAAGAAAGACGAAATTAATACAAAAACAAAAAACAGGACCTCGAAATTGCACTGATCATTGGTGACAGATACCCTGATTTTGAAGTCTAGAAAACCCCATGAAATTCTTGTAGGATGCCTTTTGGCCAGCTGCATCCCTGGGCATTTATTTTTAATCCCTTTCATGCGGTCAAACTGTTAGATCTGGAAGAGACCTTCGAGGTCATCTGATCCAACCTACTCATTTTACAAAGGAGGATGAGGCCCTGGGAAGGTAAGTGCCTTACTCGGTCATGCAGGAAATCACTGGTAGAAACTGATCTGCACCTAGAGTTTTCAATTCCCAGAGTTACTGTTCTTTGTTTGTGTTTATTTATATTTGTCTCTAAAACCGAAACATTACTGCACTGTATGAAGTAAGAAAATGAAACCCCTCTCTTCTGACACATCTGCCTCTAGCCACCAATGCCCATGGAACTCTTTGGGGGAAACCAGTATCAATAGTTTGGTATAATCACATACAAATTCTATGGGTGTGTATATATCCACACAAAGATTTTAAAACATAATTTTACTCCAAACAAGAACCTAACTAAACCAAAAAATGATTTTTGGGGACAGAATAAAATGGCAGTTTTGAACAACAAAATAAATACTATCTCTAGAAATGATCATTACATTTGATAAAAATCTATTAAAGAGCCACGGTAAGACAACGTCATGCTTGCTGTGATGCACTGATTCCCGTCCAGGACGGAAGGATTTAATCCCTCACCTGTTGGGAGGCTACTGGTTGACAGCCACAGGCTTGAGAGACTGCCTTGCCCAAGGTCAGGCTGGGGGCAGGGGAGCTGGCAGCCACTGGAAGATCAGTGTGAAAGGGTAAAGGTCGGACCCCCTTGCTGCAGTGCAAGGCAACACTAGGATCATGCCAGCTTCAGGGTGTCGTATGGGGTCAGTGGAGGAGACCTCCTTGAGACTGCATTCCAGCCCACCTTCTTCCTCTGCCCCACACCTATGCCTTGCCCGTTCCTCTCCTCCCCTGCACTCCTCTCCCCTCCCCTCTGCTCCCCTTCCCTTCTTGGTGCAGAACCTGACAGCACCCCCCAGTCAATGCCCTACATGCTAACTTCAGAATCTGCCTCTCTAGGAACCCAACATGCAACAGGCAGTCTGGCAAATTTTGCTTATTAAGACCCTTTTCTCTCCACAGCTGCTAAATTGATCAAGACTCCTAGTTTTTCAAAGAAAATGTCTGAAAATCAAGGAATCCAACAAATGCATATTTCAATTCAAGTCACTTTTTCACGTGTGTGCAAAACGTTCACAATTCTATGGGGAAACATATTTCAAAACTAAACACTGAAGTTGTGGGGGGAGAAAGCAAATAAGCTGTTATGTAAACTGTTGGAGAGCTAGGAGCACTGCAAACAGTGCTCAATAAATAATTGTTGAGCTGAATAAAAAAAGGTTTTCAGTAGACTTGTTTGGTGTTCATGGCTGAAGGCTGGATTTCTCTCTTTCCTGGCCTTTCCATTTTTTTTTTTTTTTTTTTTTGAGACAGAGTCTTGCTCCTTGCCTGGGGGCTAGAGTGCGGTGGTGTCATTGTAGCTCACAGCAACCTCAAACTCCTGGGCTCCACCAATTCTCCTCTCCTGCCTCAGCCTCCCGAGTAGCTGGGACTACAGGCGTGCACCACCATGCCCGGCTAATTTTTCTATTTTTGTAAAGACGGGGTCTCGCTATGTTGTTCAGGCTGGTCTTGAACTTCTGACCTCAAGCGATCCTCCTGCTTCGGCCTCCGAGAGTGCTACGATTACAGGCGTGAGCCACCTTGCCCTGCCTCCCTGCCTTTATTTTTTTTCTCCTGGTCTCTCCTTCTGATTCTCTTTCTCTCTCCTCTTATACTCTCTTCTCCATTTTACTTTTCACTATTCCAATCCCTACCCTGGCTCTTCTGTCTCTCTCCTAAAATTGCTCATGTTTCACATCAGAGGAGCAGACACCGCACCACCGGGGCAGAAGGGGGCAGGTTTGGTGACCCAGCTCAGCTAGAGGGATCAGCACACCTGTCAGGTTCAGAGAAACAGAGGGGCAGATCTGGGCTCAGGAAGGAGAGATGAAGGGGCGAGAGGGCGAGAGTGAAGGGAGGAGGTGCCAGGGAGCAGAGCTGAGCTCCACTCTGTTTCTTGTGCTTCAGGAACCATATCGGGCACTGAAATACGGAGAGAAAAGATAGAATCGCAACTCTCAAACGTAGTAGAGTTGAGTGGGAAAGTCAGAAAACGGTGACGAGGGGAGCAGGGAGCAGGGGAGGCCTCACAGAGGAGCGAGCATTTGAGCGGCTCTGCCGGGGGCGAGGAGAGCGCGTGCAGACGCAGGGAGGTGCGGGAGGCCAGGCTGCCCCTGGCTCCCGAGCTGGGCTTGGGCACCAGGTGCGAGGAAGCAGCGGCAGGGGTGGGACCTGGAAGGTGGGCTGAGGTCAGGTCATGATGGACCCTGATGCTCTTGCGTGGGCGGCTGGACTCCACCTTTGGGGGTGGGGCCCATGTCAGTTTCACATGCTAGGGCTGGTATTTTAGAATGGAAAGATCATTCTGGGGCCAGAATGGAGGATGGATCGGTAGCGATAGAGGCGGTGAAACCAGTTAGGGGGTCACTGCTGGCAGAGGGTGGGCAGGGTGTGAACTGAGACTGTGGAGCTGGGGTTTGGGGCACTCCTCACAGACAGACCACCCTCTCCTCTCTGTCCTGGTGGTTCTAGAGGAGAACCAGGGATGGAAGAAGAAAGGCAACTGGGCTGAGAAAGGAGGAGCGACAGTGGAGGAAGGAGCACATCTAAGACATCTTCCTGGGCAGGGACTCTGTCTGTTGCCAGCCTTGTGCATACAGCAAGGGCGCGATAAAAGTTTTTGAACATATCCTTCATTTTTTTTCATCCATTACACAATCCTTAACAATTCCTGTTCATATTTAGGTAGCCAAAATTTTAATACATTTTTTTCTTTAAGTCATGGATCCAATTGATAAAACAGCTCTGGCCACTTACCTGGCTATTCAAAAGCTGATGGTTTAGGGGTGTCCAGGTACTCATCTTTGTCTGCATTTTGGGACCATCTATGCTTTTGGGAGGTGCAAATGCCATCATGAAATAAGTGGATATTCTTCCATAAGAAAGACTATACCTATTAGAAGAAATGAATCATATAATCTTCAGAATACTAAAAATGCTAACACCATATAATTTTTTAGCACATTAGGAGAGAGAATAGGTGGGAAGAGCATTTACTGGAGCATCTTATATGCCAAGCGCTTTACATGCAGGCTCAGTGGAAGCTCACAACCATCTGGCGAGGTGGTGGCTTTCAGCGCATTTTTCAGATGATGAAGAGAATGAGGGTCATTGAAGGCACCTCGTCCAAGGTCACACAGATAGTAAGTGGTGGGACTGGGAGTCAGATCCAGGCCAGTTTAACTCTAGTTTATTTTGAGTGGACCATAGAGGTAAACCCAGAATCATTCCTAGCTAGTAACATAGCATAATAGCCAGAAAGAGTATTTTCAATTTCAAATCATGATGCAACATAAAATGCTTCAATCTTGTTCCTCATGATATCAACCCTCCTCTTCCCCTCTTAACTTTCTGACATCCAAGTAACAAGAATTCCAGCCCGCTCCCATATTTAAAAAGTACACTGGTGTCATGGACAGAACTAAGGCTTTGGAGATGGACAGGTTTGAGTTTATTCAGGGAAATTTGCTGTTTTTAGTTACCCAGTATATTGGTCTGCCTCCTGTTGATTAAAGCACTTTAATTTTCATGAGGAATTCTTTTCCCTCATTGTTGAGAGCCTGCTGGGTTGGTTAATCCAGGTGGCCTGCCCTTCCCTAGCCAAGAGACCTTCATAAAATCAAGTTAGGCCACTTGGATTGACAATGGCCTATCCTGATTTTACAGATGAGGGGGCCATTCAAAGTAGCATTGGTGCCCCGAACAGACTGTTAAGTTGTTCCTACTACTTCACCCCCCAGAAGCCCCATGTCCTTCTTGTCCATTTTGTGAGTCATGCGATATCCTTGCAGTAAATTGCCTGTTTTGCTTATGTTAGCTAGAATCTGTTTCTGTTGCTTGCAACCAATTGTTTTTGTTGTTTATCTTGTACAGGTTTAATCTTGGCTCTAACACTTACTAGCTGTGCAACTTTTTGCCAGTTATTTAATCTCTCTGAGACTCAGTTTCCTCATTTGTAAAATAAGGATGTATCTATCTACCCCCAACTGCTATTGCAAAGATTAGAAAAGAAGGGTCGGCAGCGGGCCTGGCAGAGAGGTGGCCTGGATAAGTAGTATCTTCCTTGGCAGCCTTTCTTAGAACTTGGCATTTACACAGTGTCTGCAAACCTGTCCTTTGGAAGACCGTGACAAAATATTTTAAAGTAGAAGACATTTACAGCAGACTGATAGTAGTTTCAATATATATCCTCAGTGTTCTGGATGCTTCTGCCTGTCCTCTCTGAAGGTGGGTTTGCCATAGGTAGTAGTGATGGCTGAGGGGGACCAGGGCCTGCCTTGCCTGATCTATGGTCTCCACAAATGACCCTACATTAGCAAATATTGCACAATTAAAGAAATCATGATTATTTTGGCTGATACAAGATTTCCCCAAATGCCATATCTGAAATCTCTGAGGTTCTCACTTGACCTATAATATTCCCTCTCAGGTTTAAGTTATGACAGAAGATAAAGCCAATGTTTTAAACCCTCCCAGGTGTCATCAAGACAGTGCCATCCTGCAGCTACCTGCTGCCACTAGAACGGAGGTGTTCACATCAGCCCTCACGTTCTTCTCAGCCCCTAACAGCTAATTACCTGAGTCACCATAGGTTTAGGTAAGTTACAAAGACAAAAGAAATTATTTCATTATGGTATTATTCATTGGCAGCTGGTGATAAAAGTTCATGTGAGCAGCAAATTATAGACAAAGCATGGCCACTGAGTCTAGATCTGCCCACTGAAAAATTATATATTTCCTTTTGTTGTTACTTATTTATGTTCTACATTTCTTCTCCTTAAACCAGTTGTTTTTAATCCTTTTTTGAGGATCATAAAGATCTTTGAGAATATGATGAAAGCTATGAATCATCTCCCTAGAAAAATGTACTTGAACATAAAAATTTTGCTTCCCTCAAAGCTTACAGGTAAGCTCAGAGCTTACCCCTGCTCTAAGCTGGGAAACTCTCCATTCAGCTTGTGTAGGAAACCATCTCACTGATCCTAGGCACAACTTCCGAATTAGGACAAAGTAGCTTTTCCCGGTGACTCCCCCAGGGGCCTGCACTGGTTGTTTTCTTTTTCCTGGTTCCTCAGAGCTAGATACCACCTAGATTAGGCTTTCTGCAAACCCACTTGAGGAAAGTTTGGATTTCAGCAGATGGGCCCTGCCAGGAGAAACAGCCCTCTCGATAACACAGTTCTCCTAAAGCTAGCTGATGGGGGTGTCCTGCCTCGTCTTTTGTTATTATGATTTTACAATTTTTTCTGCCTTCCTCCATTCCAGAAGGAGGGCAGTGTGTGTATTTGCACGCACCTACATGTTCAAAGTACAGACCACTTGCTACTATTAAGAAGACAAAAACTTTTGTATAAAACACACAAAAAATAATTGTCCCACTCCATCAACAAAACAAGTTGTCTTTGCTTCCTTCCCCAGGTAAGTCTTGCTGTTGTTTTTTACGACCTCTTTTCCCTTTGATGACTGCCCTTGAATGTTTAATTTTTCTTGAGATTAAAATGTAGGAAGAGGGCCTATGGCCTTAGTCCCCAAATGTATGGTTCTAGTTCCATTTTCAACAGCAAGGACGAGTCCTCTGGCCATGTACTTCCAATCTGATCTTCTAAGCCATTCTTCACACTGTCATCATTATTCAACAACTTTACTAGGTGTCTACTAGGCATGTGTTAGGGGTACAAAGATAAGAGTCTCTGCTTTAATGGAGCTCACAGTGTACCGTTAGAGAGGGTTTTGTTTTGTTTTTTTTCAAGGCCAGTTGCTCATGTCACTTTTCAGCTCAAAAACCTTCATAGGCTCACTAACGGCTACAGAATCCAGACTCCTTAGCATGGAAGTCTAGGTCCACTATGATTTCACTTCCCGCCTTTTCAGCTTCATTCTCTGCCCCCTTCGTGCACTCTCTGCCCAGACACATTGAACTCCTGATCACTCTGAGAACATGGCACGAAACTCTGATGCTTCTTTGTTTATGTGGTTTTCTGACACTGCTCACCTGAATCCTCGTCACAGCAGTACATAATAGGTGATCAATAAATATCTGTTAAATCAACAGAAGGAACGAATACAACACTGGGGAGAGGGGAAGAGTTTAAGGATTAAAACTAGTGGAAATGTAGAGTGAAACTCAGAACATTATGAACTGGGTACTGGGGTTATATTTAGGATTATCGGATTTTTATTTGGAGTTTACAGAACAGAATAGGATTGGGTTTCTCTGCTAACACAACTCATCCACTGTACACTGCAATATCATCGGACAAGGGAATGTCAAATATTATCAGGAAATAGGGTAAGGGTAAATTTAAATACAAATTCATCTTACAGTTAACTAGTTGAAAACAAAGCAAGAAGTAGAATACAATGCAAAGTGCTAGGGCTGGATAGGCATACGAGTTTTTGTTGGTTGTTAATTTCACAAGACTGCAGTATCTGGCACTTGAACTGTAGCTGACATGGGACAGCAAAATATAATCCCCGGGAGCACTGACAGGCTCGTGAGAGGCCCGGGAGCCCTCCAAGGAGAGTCTCCATCTTTTCCATGCACTGCCCACAGCTCTCACCTCTTTTAGCTCGTCTCCCTCTTCAAGCCTCAAGCGCTGACGTTGCCATAGTTGCATTAGGTCAGCTTTTTCTTTGACTCCCTCCAGCCCCGCACCCCTCCCAGCTTGCAGCAGTCCAATCGCCATCTGTAAATCCTGTCGCCGGCATCCGGGGTCTCTTAGGCAACAATGTGTGGGCTCTTGATTGGCCGGGAGATCCAGGAGGGCTGGCTCCAAAATTGGGCACAGGGATAAAATTACAAAGTGTGGGTGCCAAGAGGATGGGAAGGACTGCAATATCTTGATCTAACTCGAGAACGAAGATGCGTCGAATCCTGAAACAAGCAGCGTTGCAAACCTTGGTTCGAGGCACGGTGTGTTCTAAGTGAGCCCTACCTACCGAGCATGCTCGGTTCTACTGTCCCTGTCACGCTGGAGCTCCGAAATGCAAACTCCACTTTGCCGGGTTTTAAGAATGGCCAACAGGTAAAAGAGGGTTGGAGGAAAAAGAATTCGCAACTGGTTCAATAAAAGAATAACACCTGCAACAGGAAGTGGAAGGACCCGGGGAAATTGCCCAACACAGACACACGGATGCTTCAACACAAATTTCAATTTATTGGAATTTGGGATTTAGGCTGGTTGACAGATACACCAAGGGAACCAGCAGATGGCATGCCTTAATAAGAACCACTCTAAATTTGGGAACTCTTAAAAATATCCGGTCTAATTTAATTAATTAAATTTATTGAGTGCCAGAAGCAGAGTGAGAATACAAGGATAAAAAAGAAATCTAATCAGGAAGACTGGAAAATGCAATGTATAAGAAGTAACTAATGGAAGGCTCCCAGTCGTACAGCTGTGGTAGAACTATAAACAAGTGCAGGAGAATAGCAAAATCAAAATTCCAAAACAGAGCTCTTTTGGTCAATGAAAAGCAGTTCTTATGGGCAGCAACGAACAACAACAAAACAAAAACGACAAAAAAGAGACTTCACTATTTTTGTTTCCTAAAATAGATAAGAATGTACTCTCCTTCAACTCAAACAAATGTACAAACCCCATGTTTGTATTGTGTTTCTTAGTTTTTAAACAGGCAGCATTTGTATACCTCCAGTGTAAAAGGAAAAAGGAGAGTAAAGCTCATAGAAGTTGCTTTCCTTAAGTTAACAAAGGATCAGTATGGCCAAACTGAAATTAGAACCCAGGTTTGTGAATTCCAGCCTAGTGATTTTTCCACATGACCAGGTTGTATATAAATGAATAAACAAAGCCTTGGGGGCGGGGAGGTGAGGGGAGGGTGTCTGGGGGTGGTGT